ATATTATTATTTAAAGATATTATTTAAAGAATTTATAAAGAATTTATAATCTATGATTTTATTAACCAAACTGATTATATCAGTTGTAAGTATTTTGTGATTATAGTATGTGTGACATCACAAAATAGTAAAATATAACAAATGTTTCTAAGTCAAATTTATGCAATCTCTAAAAGGAATCTGAATAAATTAAAAAATTAATAATTTATTAAGATAAACTGATGTTAAAATCTGGATAATATTAATTGCTGTAATATTTTTTTGTCTTACGCAAAATTTTCGATACAATAATATAAAAAAACATAATATTTTCAAAATTAAGTATAAAGTATAAATTCACATATTAACATCACATAAATTTTGTGCACTCAAAAATTTATATGTATTCATTAATATTATTTTAACATGCATTAATTAATTCTAATGTACAATGTAAATAAAAAAATCAATACATTATTTTTAATAATGTATTGATTTTATAATAATTAATAAATAATGATGATAAATAATAATTATTTTATAATTTTATAATTATAATAATTTACGTCTATATCCCCACAATCAATATCACAATCAAGTAATAAGAAATATTCAGAAAATTAAAAATTATATTGCCTAAATAAATTTTTATTTTTAAATGTCATCTTTTTTATCTTATTGTGAATGTGTTTTGTAATCGAAATTTTCAACTAGAAAACATAACAAAGTACAGCAATACAATCTGATTGAGACACTTCAAATTATATTCAAATTATATTAATATTTACATGTTAGGAAAGATTCGTATGTTTTCGCCAGTTTTCGATATCATTAAATCTTTTGTATAATTTTAATACTTACATGTATAGTCATACTGAATAAAATTTTAATTATTATATTTTCAATAGACAGGTCTTTTGCAATTTTATATGGAACACCGCGTACCTTTTAGTCTTTTAAACACTCTATTAAAAACAAAAAGTTTTAATGCAGCGAGTAAAAATAGAAAATTTCGAAAAATTCTCGAGTGGAATACTCCTATATCGTTTTCAACACGTCTAGCATCAGAGAAAGAGAGAGAAAGAGAGGAGGAGGAGAGAGAGAAAGAGAGAGAGAGAGAGAGAGACGAATGGTCCGTAGAAACGAGACGCGATGTGGTGCAGGTAGATTTATGGGTGGCAATGGCAAAGGGAATAGAAACGGGAAAGGGGATGGGAACACACTCGGAGGGGGCAATGGAGTCCAGTCGAGGAGAGAGATCGTGTTTGTGTCGCAGGTCAGCCGCGCGGTTCACGGTCACGGGGACCGACCGGCGGCCGGACTTGCCTAACGTAACCCGACTCGGGACAACCGCAAACTAAATTGCACCCTCGCGTCTCGCTTCCTTCGTCCTCTCCCAAACTCCACCATTCATACCTCCTTCCCTCCCGCTGACGAAGCGCCCCAGCGGATCCCCGAGCAATATTAAAATTTATTAAGTCGCTCTAATAAACGCGACGTCTGCTGGCTGACGATCACACGGTGGCTTCACCTCTTTTCACGTCGATTGATCGAGTGAGCGCAACGCAAATTCGGTCCTCACACATCGCGAAAATATATAATATATAACTTTACATCGTGTAGAATTATTTTGATGGTAAAAATTTTAAAGCAATATACATATTTTTTATATTAAATTCGAAGAACTTTTAGATTGCATATTTTCGTTTTGTTATATCGGAATTCTTAATAATTTTCGATTCAAGTACTGAACGAACTATCGTGCGCTTTGCATATTTATATTCACGATGAACCGTTTATACCATCGCTCTGTTAGCACGATCTTGTCAGGAGATTCAACAAAGATACTGTCAACGTTTAAGATACAATCTAAACAGTCGGCAATTACAGACTGCGCGAAGGCGTGTTTGTCGCGAGCCCATTGCGACACGGTGATGAAGTCATCCGCCGATTGCAAATAGGGGATTACACTCGCTTCTCTTACTTTCAATTATCTCACTTCATATATCTTTCCACTATATATTTATACAACGTACACAAAAGAGTATCTATTTAAAGCACATGCCACAATAAACTTAAATTTGTAACGTCAAGATTTTATTAATCAAGATTTTATTGATGATTTAAAATTTCTCAGAAACATTTTATATGATTTAAGAATCATTGATTGAAGAATTAATGATACGTTGACAGGAGCAAAGGATAAGACAAACATATCTTTCACTACTGTTTACAACGCGCAGTTTCTTATTGAGAAACATAGCAAAAGATAAGTGACAGACGTGAGAAGTAATATCCGTGCAAAACGTGACTATTCATTATTTGTTTAATATTTTCTCTCTGCGAGATAAAATTTTATATTATTTTATTTTCATAGTGCAAAAATCTTAATCATTTCATCCAAGTAATTGGACGTACTACAAATTAAAGTGCAACATTTTGACCCCTCCTCCCTATCTATTGACTTTAGTTCTTTCTTTGCATGAAATTTATCGGCATAGGGTGTGTCTCATTAAACGTCGACCGGAATGGAATATTATTCGATCGATCAAACGTGTACGAAAGTCAACGATATAACCGTGTTAAAACAATGAGGAACAGACGGAAAAAAAACAACCAGAATAGATGCACGATAAAAATACTATCGTTATCAACGCGATGACCAAAAAAATAGCAGAACATTTGCATGAATTACAAAGTTAAATGCAAATATATGTACTATTGTTGTTCAACATAATGTATTAATTTTTACATAAATTAATTTTAATGCATTATTTTTCTATGTATCAATTAACATTTTCACCAATTATTATTGTAATGTTTTAATCTTTAATCTTTACTTAATAATGTGCAATTTCTAATCACGGAATGATTATCTGATGAAAAAAATTCTTTTTCTAGTTAAACTTATAATTGAAGTTTCTAGTTAAAACGTATAATTAAGAAAAAAAACTATAAATACAAAAAAACTTAAATGGCCAAATGTATTTTACAATTTTAAAATGTTCAAAGAGAACAAAGATTGAAGATATAATAGAATATAAACCAATTAAAAGTACAATCAGAAATTACTACAAAATAGAGAGTTTAACGGTAGTACTAACTTTCACCATAATAACCGAAATTTGCAAACAAAACTAATGAATAATAAGAGCGCAAAGAAAGGCTATTCGTTTTAAACACCGTTATTGTTTCAATCAATTAGAAATTTTATAAATATAACGATCATCGCGACTGTTGTGCATTACTCGCTTTACGAGTGCTTTCCATTTTTGTTATTTTAATCACAAATTATATGTACGGTTTTCAAGTATCTATTTATCTGGAGGGATTATCGGCCGCGCACTTTTACGAAGGTCACTATATCGTGGAGTGATGCAATTAGAATGCAACTGCAACTAATATGAATGTGGTATTAATAATTGGATAATTATGAATCAACCGCGTCGTTGCACCTTTCCCAACTTTTTTACTGTTATCAACATAGACACGATTTATCGCAGTCGCCCGAATGACAGTGTTTTTCAATCCATTGAAAATATGAAGTCTTTGTCGTGAAGTAAAAAATAAAATTTATGTATTTATTTATTGATAAAAATACGAAATAACTATATGAAAATTGTTACAATATTCTTGAATATTAATAATCAATTAAATGTAATGATACCTTAAGAGAAAAGATAACTTTTAAATAATTTAGCATTGTTCAGTAAAAAATTGTATGCTAGGCATCTACTCTGCGATACATTATACGTTACAATTTGCATAAAACTAGAGCATTAAATTTTCACCAATCGATTCGGTAACAGATATGCGAAGTTATGTACTTTGCGATAAAATAATGAAACGAACGTTTCCGAGAATCACCCATAATAAGCAAGAGAAATTTTTCTGACGTTTTAATTTATCCGCGAGTGAATTAAGAACGTGAGAAATAAATAAAATTCAAGCATGTATCCCAGTTGCGGAAGGGACTGCTAACGACGATAATTATCGATTGAAAGCGAGTTTCCACCAGACATCGAGCAACGCCTAATTGCATAATCCGTATGATCGCTGCCGCCATCGCACCGCGATTATCCGGACAGAGCTCGGCCGTAAAAATCTCAACCTTGACGCAGCGAAGATGCGCGCTCGCACACGCAGCATCTCGCGTCATTCGTATTTGCATTCGCGCTGCATCAAACCGGTCGGATCACAGTAACTCCAAAAATTACGCATTTCCAAGGTCTCTTCAGAACGAAGCAATAAAAGAATGAAGAAATGAAAATCTTAAAAAAGATGTAAAAAACAGAAATTAAATAGAAAAAAATTAAATGTTTAATTATTAACTATTTAAATAAATCGATAATCTCCTTGAAATTAATTAACTTTGCTAAAACTATTTATTTTAATTAATATTAATGATTAATTACCATTAATTATAAAACATTGAAGACTGCGGATTTTTAATCGTATATTCTATTCTCGTATTTCTCGAACGAAACGCGGTTTGTAAATAGCGTCTTTTTTTTGAGGGTTTTGTAGCGATGAGCATATTTACATAATCATGGGCTTCTCTGATATACACATCCATTTATATTTATCTCCTGAAGAATAATAGTTACAGCCGAAATAAAAGTTGATAAGCGCAAAGACCATCTATCTCTCTGTAACAAATTTGTGCTTCGTTGCGTGCCTATTCGAGCCGCGTTCGTAGCGTTATTATTATTCATTCTTTTAAGCCCATTTATTTCAGGTTTGCAGAGAGTGCTTATTACGCTTCCCCCCGCAATTAAAGGGTTATAATCTACGATGTCGAGCGCTTGAAAATTCAGCGCCGTGGGCTCGGAAGAGAGTCCAGTCCGATATCACGCGTACAATGGACTGCTCGTCATGCGCGTGCACTTTCTACGCATTTTCAACATTTAAAGAGAAATAAACGCGGCGAGAATTTCGCTGAGGGGAAAGAAAGAGCGAAAGAGAGTGCGAAGGCATGCGGAAGATGTATATAATATATAATATGAGCAAGCGCTACTCACCGGTAGATTCCTGATGCCCAGCCGCACCTTGGAGTACTTCTTCATAAACACCCGCCAGAGCACATAAGCCATGGCGATGATGATGACAGCGACGATTATGATGATAACGATGACGATAATCCCGCCGTCGATAATCGACGCCGTTGTCTCGGACGATAATCTCACCGTCTTCGAAATCGACGATCTTTCCCCTTCCAAGTAAAACCGACGTCAAAGACAACCTTCGTCACACCACTCGCGACCTGTTCGACTGTCAAAAGTCCACAGCATCATGGATGGATCACGATACGACCACGCAAATGGACTGTCGCAAACAGCGACCAACCTCGGTGGATCGTCCTTTTTAAAAAAAATCTTTTTTTTAATTTTTTTAAATATTCTCCGGATGAAGGGTATTTAACCTTCAATCTGAACTTTAAATTACACGATACGGAGCTACTCTTTCTAAAAATTATTGCTTTAAGACGGATCGTCTTTTGGGATTACGTCACGATCTACGATTACATCGAGTCGCGAGTACGACGCGTATCGCGCTCGATCGCGAAAGAACGAATGAGGAGATTAGCTTGACGATAATTAATGCACACGCCGGCGGCGCGCCACGCTTCGAACTTACCGGACGGAATCGACGAGCGTCGTCGTATGCACGCTGTTACGAGTCACAAGTTACGCGCGATGACCTCCGTTCGCGTCACGCATCGTCGCGCGGCCTTTTGAATCGCACGAATCGCGCGTCATCGACAGCGAACTTCGCGCGGCTGGACGCGGCCGGCAACAAACTCACGCGCCGGCATTTCGAAGCTCACTTCGCTCTCGTACCAACCTTCACCGCGCTATCAATAGCGCTCGCGAGCAATTCGCAAGGTCACGTGCCTCGCGATACGAAACAATACGCGGAATGAAAACAAAAAAATAGTACACAAATACAAAAATGATGAACGACGCTTTCCATACGCGATCGAATGTCCGAGTCTTTCTATGAGCGAATAAAATATAAAATTCATTCGTTTAAACAGGATCTTTTATCTCCTTTTCACGTGACTCACACGCGATCACAGTAGCCGATCGATATCCGAGAAAGCGTTCGTTTCTGAATGAAAAACAACTTGAATGAAGACAACTCCGCGTGTCTCGCGTAATCCAACGTGCGCGCGTCGAAAAAGTCCATACAATTTATCCACGTAACACACACGCATACCATTGGCAGCGTTACGTCGACCATACGCAGAGGCTGCGCACGGATATTCGCGGACAGTAATCACTCACGCTTACGACTAAATGTCACTCAAATGTTACGTGTGCGCTTCATCTTGGCAGTCATCTCTCGTCGATCTGAATCGCCGTTGCGTAAAATCGCCCTGTCGATCGATTGCCACGTGCACGGTAATAGCGCTTTTCACGGATCACATAGTTCGAAAGCACCACTCGATACACCCGCCGGCGTCCGCTGCCGCGACGTAACTGACACGCGACACACCATCGCAACCGCGCGCGCTCTCGCGATCACGCCGCCGTCGCGCCGCGAGCTACCGCGCCGCGCTGCGCCGTGTCGCGCCGCGCCGACGAGCGTCGTTTGCTTTCGTGGAACTGACGAAACAGAATGAATGAATGAGGCGAGCTCGGCCGAATCGCGCACCTGGAATCACGCGAATCTCAATCCTTAAAATTGATACTTCCAGTAATAGCTTCGTTCCTTAATAGAAAAAAATTTGCAAGGGGTGTAACTTTTCATTCCTTGTAGTCAGATTTATAGGCCGGAAAAATTTGACGTAATTTAATGATTTACACTGTATATTTATCGCTCGTGAATTATAAATAATGAATTTTAGATTAGAAATTTTAGATTGAAATAATTGTTAAGATTTGGATAGATTCTTTTGAAAAAGAGTCAGTGGAGAAATATTTGTGATCGTTGCGTGGGAAAAATATCGACATTATTCATAAGTAAAATGTCAAAGCATAAATATATGTAGCGTAAAAACGAATAACAGGATGTATAACGATTTATATGATAATCGAAGATATCCTGAATATTGATTGAATATATGTAAAATTTCTCAGAATCCAAGGTTTGAACTCTGCACTTTAATTTCCATTATAAAATATAATTAAATTCAATTTCAATGAAATAAATTCTGCGAATAAAAATTTATTTTTATCACGATCAAAATGTCGTATTCGTGATCATCAATAAACATATGTGTACATATCAATATATTGTAATCTAAATACTCCGAAATTGAAACTTCTTTCTTTTAATATGTTACTTGAATAAATATTAATTGTGTCATGACATTTAATTTGGATGTATTTATATGAGTCTATGTAAAAAGATTAATGGGAATTGGCGTTTTGTAATGTTAACGCTAAACTGTATGAAATAGATTTCGATTTTTGAAAAAACGTAGCACATTTCCACATATAAAAAATGGACTTGTGAGAATAAAGCGGAAATCATGTTGTGGAAAAGAATCGTTTCTCTTGTTCGCAGTCACGAAATATAATTAGCTTCGTACATTTTCACGCTTGACTCTATCTTCAGATAGAGCAGAAAAGAAATGATATCGTGACAAAAGAACCTTGCGTTCCATGATTAGCATCAATGCTATTCCGCACTTCCGCTTCCCCACGTACTATGTCCAATCTTTTCTCTTTTATATTCAGCCGCCGTTTTTGCAACCTGCACATCACGAATGCAGACGTGTGTTCCGCAGAGAGTAACGTGCGCATTATACAGGATGTTTTAAAAGTGGAGATCAATCGCTCGGGAAATATAGATATACAGGGTGTTCCGAAATCAAAGCCAATTACTCGAGAGATGAATACAGACCTAAAAAACAAGAGAGAAAATTGATATTAACATAGGGTAAAAAATGCATTATTTTCGAGTTATCGCTATTTTTATGTTGAAACTTTAAATTGCTTTGTTATCGAATTTTTTGGTCAAAATTAAAAGAAGAGATCGTTATACGTTTTATAACATAATTAAAGTTAAATAAAAATTTCGGACTGCTTTAGCACTACACAGGATGCACAACTGTGGAGTCCTGATCTCTGCCAAGAGATAACATAACATAAAGATGGTGATAACTCGAAAACAACGCATTTTTGGCCCTATTTTCATATCAACTTTCTTTCTTTCTTGTTTTTGGATCTGTATTCATCTCTCGTAATTGGCTTCAATTTCGGAACATCCTGTATACTTACAAAAGCACGCACCTTCACCCCGCGAGAGATAATGGGTGTGTCTGCTTCACGTGACGGCCACGTGAGCACCCTCGAAAAGGGCTTTCCCGTTCCCTGACGTTCATTCATGCAGCAGGTCGGCTCGTGCCGTGGGCGGCGGTGATGACCCTAGACTATTCCGACCGAAAGTCGAGAAGAACCGAGACTGGTTACGAAAAAAGGGCAGAGAAAACGTACGATCAGCGGAATGTACCGTTCAACGAATTAACGTAAGAGCAGTTATGCCGCCTCATTTTTGTACGATTTCCAAATATGTCCGCCGAGGTAATGTCCAATATCACGAGTACAATCAGTTCTCGTAAATATACATACCTCCTGCGCAAAAACAGAATGTAATGAGAAGACGTTTACGGAACTTCTCCTTTCGGAGCTTGAAAGACTACTCAAATATATCAAAAATATAATAAATGAAAACACTTTTTCGCATCCAAACAAAAGCAAATTTTTATCTTCTAAATTGAAAAAAATATAACATGCGCAATCTTTTCTCTAAATTTCTTGTATATTATTATAAATTTTGTTTAATAAAATTTTTTAAAATAGATCTGTATTTCCCCTTATTTCCTTTAATCAAACTCTTGTAAAATCTCTTTTTATCGTGACGCAACTTTATTATATAATATATCTGCAATCTTATCCCATCTCACGACATGTGATTCGGAATGTTGTTGAGATTGCGCTATCGGGCGATCGTGCATGCTTAATGGCCGAACAATCATTGTTGAACAATCGTTTTTCTGCCCTCTTTCCTCTGATCAAGAAATCTAACCCGGCAATTACCTAATCGTCAATTTATTTCGATAGCGACAGGCCGGATTCGCGATGTGGCGCGGCAATTATTTTACTTTCCGCTTTCGTGGCGAGCGTGATCACGCATGGCGTGCGATTGCGGCTGCTCGAGATCGCTGCGCCGCATTAATCGATCTTTCTGTCGGACACAGCATGCGCGCAAGCATGCTAGAAGTACACCTTGGTGGAGTTAAGTAGATGTCAATGCGTTCCCACGTGTCCGTGTCTCGTCCGCCGGCTACTTTCGTGCCCGGGATAGATACTTATAAAGGAAAACAGACGTCTGTCATTTCGCAATGCCGCCTTTCCGTATAGCGAGAGCAATACCTCCTCAATTGACCAGCCGATGCTCGCCAGTAATTACTGTCCAATGAACCCTATGCCCCTCTGGCGGGGTTCTATAAACTTTAAAGTACTTTACGTTTTAATTATTTTAAGAATGTTGGTTCTTTTTCAAGACATCCTTTAGACATCTTATAAATCAAAAAATTAAAACATTATCATTAACATTATATTATTAAATATTAAAACATTATATTATCAAAAAATTAAAACATTAAAAAAATGTAAATATAAATTAAAACTAATTGAAAAGGAATTCGACCCGTATTAGTTAATAAATAAGAAATGTAAAAGAAAAATCAAATGTAAAAGAAAGATCAAACGAGCAAATTGGATGGTTAAATATTACGTTAATGACGTACCCGTCACTTATTATTCGTTTTAATTAAACATTTATTTAATTCAATTTGCTCGTTTATTTGATCTTTCTGCTATATTTCCTAAAAATTCAAAATCTTTATCCGTATAATAATACAGATATTACGATCCTAATTAGACTTTATGCTGAACGGGTGGAATACCACGGATAATTAGAGAGAGGATTAAAATATGTCACGAGGGAAACATATCTGTCTCTACGTATGCATGCTTGTGTATCGCGCTGATATCGTAACATGTAACACGAATCGTGAATCATTGACCAAGTTCGTTGAGCAAGAGAGAGGGTTCGCCACGAACGTGCAACACTACGAATTGACGATAGATAATACGAGAGAAAGAGATCGTATTATCGCGATTCCGCGATGGACACGGCCGGGGTTATCCGAGGTTAATCGAACAGCATGGCCGGTGTGTGTAACGACAACGATTATTATCCGATCTAGC